ACTTTTTGATTAACCCTCATATGGACATTTTAGATAAGTGACATTGTTATTCCCCTCACATTAGTTGTTTCTCATTCCATTTAACAAATGTTTATAGCTCTATTAAACTCAATTACAAGGACATGTCATTTGGCATATATGCACCAGGGGGTTGTATATTTCTGATGATTTAGCTTATAACCTCTGCATTATAAGGCTCTAAATGCAACTCCATCATTGATTTATTCATAATGAAATATATAACCAAATTATATACATATCAAAGAATATCAGTACATTTTGAGTGATATCATTTTTAAAGATGAGATGATATCAAATATCAACATGATATTGTCATAATGACCTTCGACTCTTGGCTGATGGTTGTTTGGTAGAGCAGTTGTATTTTAAACAGGAATGGTGGCCAGGGCACGCCTTAAGCCAAATTTCCCTGCTGGTCATCGATCATGACCAGCAGTATTAAAATTCGAGGTGGTCAACTATAAAATCAGCTGGTCACAATGACCAGCAGCACTCCAAAACCTGCTGGTCATTGAGAGATTTAGCTGGTCAATGAAAATAACTCTTAAAGTAAAAAAAAGCACCTTATTCTACTTATCAAGCTCATTTATTACAGTATACTAAAATAAATCAGAAAAAACAAAAACATCACATCGTAGTAAAAATTATTTGATCGTAGTAAAGCTCATTCATAGTCATTATGGCGCATGGATATATATAATGAGTGATAAAACTCATAACCTAAGCACTCATTACGAAACTTTTTCGACCGCCATTTTTAAAACTGGAAATTATCATTTTGCGGCAATTTATGGCTTAAAAGGGACATAAATTATAGTTCTAGATGATCTAGGATTACTGAGTAATCTTTCTAGCTATTCTACTTACCTTCAGAACCCCGCTTGGCGCCAGGTTTGGCCGCAAATTTTGCAAATGGATGCATCGAACTTGACCGGATATAGAAATAGTTCCTGAATTAGGGTAAAATTAGCATTCGCTACTTTCCGTTACCTATATTTGGATATATTCGTATATTCACGTGATACTGATTAATTATGTATGCAGTGACGTAAGGGCTGATCTATTAATGACACTGACCCCTGTGGATCATCGTCGAACAGTTAACAAACGTAGGCTCCATTAATTAATATTGAATTAAATATAAGGGGCGTGTAAAGATGAATGAACAGCCACACTCCCAGCTAAGTTTAGGGGTCGTGTCAAGGTATCGGACAAAATATCCAGGCCGTATTTCCAGTTGACTAGTATGTATCGGTCAGTATGTCCGACAGTTTTTAATTTTTAACCGGTCCCATCAATATTCTACCGGACAAGTCCGACAGTCCGACGCTTAAGGCATGCCCTGATGGTGGCAAGTCAGTAAAAACGTCATTTGATGAACCTTCAAAATGTGAATTTAAGCAGAGTCTACCTATACTAAATTATAGCTCTACGAGATGTTATGCTGTAGATATTATAAAATATAAAAGAATCTTACATGACTGTAATTCAAGAAAAATGTCATGTACCGAGCAAGTAAATGTGACATATTTGTAACGGAATGTCCATCATTTATAAACTCACTCTAGGGGACATATGATCTAAGGTCTAACTGGTGATATATCAATACTGAATGTATACAATTCCATGTGTGTATTAAAATAGAGTTTTAGTACTATTAAACATGGTCCCTCAAGCCTAATAATTAAAATCAAAAATTCCAAAGGGGTTAAATAACCCTGAATACCCATTGGCAAGTCTCTCTCCCCTCTCACTTTGAAAAATGATTTTGAAGTTTTGTGTTGATAAAATCTTAATCATCTCAAATGTAGCCTTCCTCGAGTTTTATTGGAGTTTGAATGTAAAAGAATGTTATCTACTCATTACATAGAAAATGTTGTCAGAAAATGTGTCTGACTACAGAGTCTGATTGGTTATCTGTTGGATCAAAGAATCCTTACCTAAAAGAGTGGTTACAAAATGCAGATAAAGCCAAAAGTTCTTGCAAATTTTAACTGTGCATTTACATTAGATTTTATATATGGATGTCAGTATGTGCAGTGAGGCCTATACATGGTCACTATGGGAGCTAACTGATCCACTGCACACCATGATTGCCCATCAGTCAGCTGTGATTGTCAATTATGAACAACACAGGGACACCATTCATATTCAATTCACTGTTACATAAATATGGGATGCGCCCACTGGGTACGCCATGCCTATAGGATTTACTAAAACACAGAGTGTGAAAGATCCAGGATATGGCACACCTCATATGTGTTACTCATATTTTCTAACCCTGAACTTGGATTAAGATATTACTATATCTAAATTGAAAATACATGTATTAAGAAATGATCATGGAGCAAAGGAGGTTTAATTGGATTACAGGAATCTTAATGGATTACTAAAGAATGTCTCTCTGTAAGAGTTGCGGTTTGTGCACATTTGCAATGCCGGTGAGTCTAAGTGTCTGCCCCACACAATCTCCTTGATATCATGTTTGGGAGGGAAAGAAGGGGTGCTGGATGCAGACTAATGCAAAATGAGTGATGCAGGGAATGGAAATGTACAGAGAAGGAGTAGCACAGGGAATGGAGTGCCATGTGTGATGGAGTGACACAGGGAATGGAGTGCCACAGGGAATGAAGGGATGCAGGGAATGGAAATGTACAGAGAAGGAGTAGCACAGGGAATGGAGTGCCATGTGTGATGGAGTGACACAGGGAATGGAGTGCCACAGGGAATGAAGGGATGCAGGGAATGGAGTGACAGGGAATGGCTGCAGGGAATGCAGAGAATGGAGTGACATATGGAATGGAGTGGCACATGGGATGAAGTGACACAGGGAATGGAGTGCAGGGGCGGATCCAGGAACCAACAAGGGGGGGGGGCCCAAATTTGAGATCAGAGAAAAAACGTCCGCGCTTGCGCGGAAAAAAATTTTGGGCCCCTAAAATCCAAAAGTGGGCCCAAATTTTGAAATTTTGAGGCCCATTTTCTTCAAAATTTGGCCTGAAATTAACAAATAAGGCCTTAAAAGGCCCAGTAATGACCAAAAAGGCCCACTTTTTGGGGCCTGAAGGCCTTGTTTGGCCCAAAAAAAATTTTGGGCCCAATTTTTTTTTTCTGGGCCCACCCAAGGGGGGGGGGCCCGGGCCCCTGGGCCCCCCCCCCTAATCCGCCAGTGGAGTGACACAGGGAATGGAGGGATGCAGGGAATGGAGTGACGCATAGAATGAAGTGACACAGGGAATGAAGTGGCATAGAGAATGGGGGGATGCAGGGAATGGAGTGACACTGGAAATGGAGGGATACAGGGAATGGAGTGACACATGTGATGGAGTGACACAGGGAATGGCGTGGCACAGGGAATGGGGGGATGCAGGGAATGGATTGACACATGGAATCAAGGAATGGAGTGACAAAGGGGATGGAGTGACACAGGGAATAAAATGACACATGGAATGGAGGAATGCAGGGAATTGATTGATGCAGCAAATAGAGAAACATAGGGAATATAGGGATGCAGGGAATGGAGTAGGGACATGGATTTAATACAACACCAGCAAGTTTATTCAACAAAGAATATTCCATGCAGTTTGTGTTGAGTTTGTTTTTTTGAGATTGGAGAGCTTGATAAAGATCAGTGAATCTTACACCATCAAGGTGTTTCATGTAACTGTATGAAGGAATTTGCTGGTTAAACAGTGGTTTCAAGATATTATGTGTACAAATCATAGCATGTTACATTTTGCATCTAGAAACTATCTTTATATGAGATTTTTTGTGTAAATATATATAATTATTTATTTCAGATTCAGTCTTTTAATATAAAGTTCTTTGATTATGGAGGACTTTTTAGAGTTGGGATAATTTCTTTAAGTGTAGGCTAATGTCTTCCCAAAGTAATTAACCTTGCTAAGTTATCAAGTTTTTTTATCCAAGGAATGAACCTCATCCTTGAATTAAAGATTGGATGCAAAATTTAAAAAAAGTTAGATGCGTGTCTATGATACTCTATATTATTTATGATTCTCTTATCTGTTGGTGATTATGAAGGAGACTACATAGAAAGGAAGGAGACTTCTCCCCAAGGAGAAATGTGAAGTATAGCTTGGGAATCTAAATAGTCTAAACCCATGGATCAAATTGTAATCTTTGGGACAAATCATATCTGTGGGTCAAATCATAACCTGGCCTAGGGTCAAAACCTAAAACTAAAATAGATAATGACTAGATAGATACGTTTAGAATATGGAGTCTTGAAATAATGGCAAGGACATATTCTTGAACTCTATAATTATAATGAAATGGCATTTGTAATTATATGTATTCTTCCTTTGTACAATACTATCAGACAGTTCTTAAGATATGATGAGGAGACATATAGTGTTCCCTCAGAGACTCTGTCTGCCTTCAGTAAACCATATTTATAAAATATAGGTTGTCATCCTTACCCTTTACAAGACCTTGGCTATGTTATGGTTTTATACTCTTTATATCAGAGATATTTATTTGATTTTGCCTTTATCTAATCAGAATAAGTAATCATGAAATCTAAGTTATATCCTTCATGTTATCCAAAAAGTAGGTGGTCCCTTCCATAGCTATATATCCTTAACCTCATTTTCTGATTCTTTGGAAGGTCCAGATAACTCTCATTTGTACCCTTTTCAATAGTCTGGTTTTGGCTAGTTTATCCAGTGGATATTAAAAAGCTGTTTTCCGGATCTAATATAAAAGATAAATTTTTGGGGTAATTTTTATAGATTTTTTTAGGTTTTTGGAACTCTTAGTGCAACATTTTAGGATTTTTTAACTTTTTCATGCAACATCTTAAGGATTTTTATTGTCTTTATGTAAGATTTTAGGGAGCAAATAAAAATATTGGATGAGCAATTTTATGTCATGGAGGTGCTTCGCCTCAGAGATTTCAATGTGGTGAAAGCCCTGTCATATATAAGCCTTAACTTGTGTGTAATTTCTACTTCCAGCCTGTAGAATTTGAGAGTGGCTACCACAGGTTTAGGTCTAAAAGTTTCAAGCAACCCAGGAACTGTGAGCTATGTGAGAGAATCATATGGAAGAGAGGGCATGCCTGCAAAGGTAAGGGCTTGCCATTTAACATGTTAGATCTTTTCCTTTAAGTCTATGTGAGAGAATCATATGGAAGAGAGGGCATGCCTGCAAAGGTAAGGGCTTGCCATTTAACATGTTACATCTTTTCCTTTTAGTCTATGTGAGAGAATCATATGGAAGAGAGGGCATGACTGCAAAGGTAAGGGCTTGCCATTTAACATGTTAGATCTTTTCCTTTAAGTCTATGTGAGAGAATCATATGGAAGAGAGGGCATGCCTGCAAAGGTAAGGGCTTGCCATTTAACATGTTAGATCTTTTCCTTTAAGTCTATGTGAGAGAATCATATGGAAGAGAGGGCATGCCTGCAAAGGTAAGGGCTTGCCATTTAACATGTTAGATCTTTTCCTTTAAGTCTATGTGAGAGAATCATATGGAAGAGGGGACATGCCTGCAAAGGTAAGGGCTTGCTATTTAACATGTTAAATTTTTCCCTTTTAGTCAACCACTACAAAGTCGATAAGAGATTAACCTAAACATTTTCTTCAATAGTTTCAAGATTTGTTTTATCAAACTTAAAATTTTCTCATTTATATTATGTTTTGAGGTTAATTTCTATTATTGTAATGTTAGTTGCTTTGATTGTTAAATAATTATCTTGATAAGTCAATTTTTTATTTAAAAACAATTGTGTCCTGCTAGATTTTTAGCCTTCATGTTGGGGGAGAACATACATTACACATTGTTTCAGCAATTATCAAGGCTGTAATACAGAAACATTTCTTTTTATTTTCAATTTGTCCAGAGATTATTTTGGTGTAAATGCTTTTAGTGGTTCTTCTGTCTGTAAGTATTGTATATGAATCTTTATATTTCAGCTTGCAAGTATGTCTGCCATTTCCAATGCCAGCCAGAGGTAAGTCTACATGCTTTTCACTCTTATCAAGATAGAAAGATGTCACCCCTGTTCCCAAATAATTCGCCACCTCCTGTTGCAATCCCTGACCCATCTGCTTCTTGCTTTTCTGCTTGCAAGACAGGCTCCTCTACATACTGAGACAGTGTTCGCGTTGACGCCGTTTTTTGCCATTTTTACGGAAATTTCAGAAGGTTGGACGTAAAAATCAAAATCAACTTACGTCCCCAGGACGCAAAAATTATAAACTGCTTCAAGATAACTTTTACTGCAGCACAGTAGCGGTGAAACATGATTTTCAAACTCACTACCTTGATATACGAGCAATGATCCAGGTATATTTATATCGACAAATCTGATTGGCTATCATGACTACCGAAGATTAACAGGGTTTCTAGTATGAGACATGGATTTTGATTGGTTCCGATATATTCCGGAAAATGCCGCAATCGAAATGGAAGATCAAAATATACAATATTGCAGAAATCCCCTGTGGTTCCCCACAAATTGAAACAATTGTTTTTCACGATATCTTTATCATTTCCACTAGAAACCATTATATAATGATCTAATGTTATACATCAAGATAAATGTTTAATGATAGATCGAGGTTTTTCATCTAAAAGTCTTCAGAATAAGGAGAAATGTTAATAAAAAGAAGCAAAAGTTCACGACCTTGACATGACCTTCAAGATCGCAGGTTTGTAAAATGTGAAAACAAAACTCTTAATTTGAGCATTTCCTTTATTCATTTCGGACTATTTTGGTATAACATTACTTAAGAATTGTGTAAAAAGGACCCAGTGATAGATATTTATCGGGAGGATGCATCAAATTACAATATATGTCATTTTTATGTAAGCACTCTATTATCGCCCACTTTATTTTCACTTTCACAATATTTTCTTGAACTTTGTGAAGAAATAAGAGGGACGCAAAAAAATTAGATGGGGACTCAAATTTTTCAAATGGGTTGCGTCCCTGGGACTCAGAAATTTTAATGGCCAGCGCGAACACTGCTGAGAGGACAGGAAGAGGTGTGACCTACACATACCACACCTGGAATAAGTGAGATCTACTTCAGACAATATGGACTACAGGGGCAGATCTAAAAACTACGATATTAAGTTTGAAAAAAATTTGGGGTCCCAAAAATCAAAAATTGGGCCAACATTTTGATATTATAAGGCCCATTTTCTCAATAAATAGGAAAATAAGGCCCAGTAATGCCCAAAAGGCCCACTCATGGGGTCTTAAAAACTTGGGCCCATCCTGGGGGGAGGGGGGGTCCCAGGAACCTTCCCAGACCAGGTACCGAGACTAGAAAACATCTCTAGATCATAATTCTCAGTGTATGAATCATATAGAAAGGTTGCAATGGCTTAATTCCCACAATAAAAATATACAAATTGTTTAGATTTCTGAGTCAAAATGCCATGAAATCTGATTGGTATCTCCCCTATAGGCATGCCAAGTTTAGCAAAAATATTATTGTTTCCATTTATCCTTTCCTTAGCCTTATCAAATCCATCAGGGACGTTAGCATAATGTTTATGATAAACATACAGTGGAATTGTTGTATGTTTTCTATGATTTCACATTTACATTACCTTAGCACTCACATATAAGTCAAGACCAATCAATTGCCTTGAAATGCTAAGAAACCAGAATATTTATATTGCTAGTATGTTGTACAACATTGACATTGTATAATTTTGACATTGTACAATTTTGACATTGTACAACATTGACATTGTACATTATTACAACATTGATACTGTACATATTGACATTGTACAACATTGAGATTATGCAATATTGGCATTGTACAGTATTGACATTGTACAACATTGTCATTGTACAATATTCATATTGTACAACATTGACATTTACCAACTTGTACTTGAAAATGTTATTCACTTCACTTGTTCAATTTCAAGTATTTGTCCATCACTTTATTTTGAGGTCAGCAATCTTACTTTAATTGGCCAAAAACATCAAAAGCTGGGTTGATTCTACTTCTTCTATGTGTTGATTTTACATTAACATTTTCTTTTTGGATAAATGAACGGTGTGTCAAATTCTGATTTGTTCAAGTTGTTTGCAAATACTACACCAAAACCTGAATACCATGCATGTATATCTGTATTGTCAGTTCTACCTTGATTTTGAACTTTAATCTTAAATGTAAACTGGACATGGTAAAATCCTCAATACAATTATATAGAAAATTCTTTGATCAACAAATATACGCTTCAGCTTACTATGCCCTTCTTTACAACTCCTGACCATTCACAAACAGCAAGGCCATACCAAGTATAATCACGTTTCTCATCTTTTCATTCAATTCATTAAAAGTAGGGGCTATAAATTCTGATTTATCAGAGTCTCTTTCTTGGCTTGTGAGAGATTAAGTTCTCTTTTGGAGGTTGTAGAGTATGTTGAACCCAGGTTTCTGGATCTTAAATCAGTTCTTTATGGTACATTGTTGAAAAAGTTTAAGACTAGGATTATTAATACACACATGCACTTCAATACATTAATACAGTAGTACAATGACAATATGGTTGCAGTGCACCCAAATTGTGTTTTGGTGCTCATCTATTTTTGCGATAATTCAGCATGTTTATAGCATGCTCCCTTCTTAAGCAGCTGCATAACTTTACTGTATATTTTTTATAATAATTGCAGTAATTCTTGATCAATGATATACTGAAGTGTTCATTTACTTAATAACTTAATTTCATTATACTTAAGTACATATAGCTTTGATGAATTGCACTTTATTAAAAAACTAATTTTTGTAATTTACATTAGATCCTGCTTCCAAATAAATGACAAGAATACAGTGAGTTATATGGTCCAAATAACATAACAAAATAACATATCTATACATTAATCAAATTATTCCATCCTGTGGCCTATAAGTACCTATACCTTTTTGATCATTGGTTACTATATACGTAGATTGCAAGAATTACACATTGCACGCCCTGCTGGCTTAGAATAAATCAAATCAAGCAAGGGAATAAGTGAAATCAAGTCTAACCAAGTGTAGTAATTAGCTGACTGCTTGTGGAATATTGACAGGAAGTATAGTGTAGAATGCAATGCGAAGGCACCATCGGCATAGAGAATCTGAGACTCTGCTGTGAGAATTAGCATTGAGTATACAGCTAGGTAGTGGATCACCTGGAAATGCAGAATTTTATTAGTATTTCAGTTTTTTGTAGGATGTAGAAAATAAAAAGGAATTTTGATATAATTGGACGTAACAACTTTTTCATCAGGAAAACCAAAAATCATGTTTCGCTAAAAAGACAGAAGGTTAAGACTCGTAATTAAATGCTTCCTTCTATCTCTAGCCAGCTGACCTGCTCATCTGTCTGTTAGTGAGAGATAGTGACAAGATATCACTGGGACTTAACAGGGGGCTGGTCAGTAAACAGGGTAGCATCCTGCCTCAACATTCTTCCCAACATCCTTTGTATCTGGATACATTTCCACTAGGATAGCAACCAATGTTACACCATCTGCGGGAGGTTGCAACTTCAAGGCAACAAAGGGATTTTATGTTTATGTATCAGAAATGCGAGAATCCCTTTCAGCTGCCCAAATTACTACTTCTACTACTACTCGATGAAGAAAAGTGGCTGTGAAGGGTACTGTAGAGTAGTTTTGAAGTGATACATCTTACATTGACAGATGACAAGTTGAGAAAGTTCTACAACATAAAAAATGAAAAATCAAAAGAATAAAAATTGCCTGATTTTATCCAAAGGATCTATTCCTTAAGAAGGAGACAAAACACGATCATCTGAAAAGAGAACACCAGATATGCTACACTGACAGATATCTTGCAGAATGTTAATGCACGACAACTGGATTTGTTCTGTCTCACTGCATGTCACAACAAACTACTCTGGATAAGTGTTACAAATTAGCTGATGTCACAACAACATAGCAACTTAGATATGTCACAATAATGCTTTAATGATGGAGCTCACACACCATATATGGTAAAAATGCTGCAATGAGGTCAGTTCACTCTTGATATGGTAATAAGGTTCTTATGCGGTCATTTTCAGTCCAAATATGGTAGAGACATCAGTTTCCCTTGAAATATTTCAAATATGTAATATTACATTGATATATTAGATCATTCATTATTTTTCCTCTGATCTTCTTAGACTAGGAAAATTATATACATTCATTTAAACACAGATGTGATTTTATGTTTGGAATATCTATCCCTAGTAATTAATAATTAATTCATTTCTCCCCAAATTGCTTCTTTCACATAATGGTAACTCACTTCTTGAAGTCTTAAAATTTCTGAAAAACAAGAGTTTACTTGTCCTTTTGCATTATGTAAATGTATCGAAATGCAGTCCAAGTTTGGGAATTGTTATATGTATTCTTTGAGCCTAAATATTATTTTTATGAATATCATAATTTATGATTAATGATATTGTTTTGACATGAAGTGAGTATTAGTGCTTTGTTTATGACGTGTCTTAAGGGAAAGATTCAACTCAAATAAGCATTAGCAGAGATTAAACACACTTCAAGGAATATAGCATCAAGGATTGGTGGTGACTTTGACTTTTCTCATTGAGCATGGTTTTGGGGTCTTTCTGATATTCATCAGAATATTTGAAAACTAAATATGAAATTAATCTTCCAAAATATAATTGAATGCAGTTTATTTTTGAATGTTGCCATCTGTGCTTCCTTGACAAATATTAGAAAATAAATAGATTCAAGGGATGTTTTATCGAAAGCCATGCTCTAAGGAATCGGCTCTCATTTCTTATCTTCCTATAAGTAAACAATATGTAATTAACTCCATGGCTTACACCTTCAAGGCAATTACTTGATGGTATAACATGTCAGAGTAATCTCAGATATAAATTGAAAGAGTGTGATCCATGCTTTTGATCTAAATATTAGTTTGACTCTGACTCTAGCTGATCAGTCTTGAGAACAGTCCCAGGAAA